AAAAAAAAAAAAACATGCAAAGTGCTTGATTATAATTTTAACTAATAATGTGTAATTCAATATTACTTTTAAAGTTTATATAATGTACTATAATTGATCATTACAAACGTGTAATTACAAATATATTTAAATACGTGACATATAAGTTTCAATAGAAATTATATTTCAAGTATATTTTAGTTTACTGCTTGCTCGTGCATTCGGCAATACACTTTAACCACATCACTGTAAAAAAATATATTTTCATGATTTGTAATCACAACATTTTTTTTTATTTTGTCAAATCAACTTAAATAATTTAAGTAGTTCAGATAACATAATATTTTGAGTTTCTGACTCCTCGATTTTTCCATTTCAATGAACTTAAAATTTTAAGGCAACCAGGTTACTTCATTTTTAAGTTAAACCAACAATATTTTTTTACAGTGTAGAAGTATAAATTACAAGATGTACTAAATTAAAAAAGCAAGTTCAGCTAAATGCTTATAATATAAATTCAAACTATAATACACTTTCACTTATTTGCGATTAACACATGCCCGATACACAATATTACTCAAAATAACCACTCGTTTTAAAAGTACGTTTAGGATGTAGAAGACCATGAAGCATGTTTGCAAACAGTTTGATGTTAGCAGGCCAAGGAAAGTTGGCTTGCTAACTTGCTAATTTTTTTACAGTAGACTTTTCGCTCTTTTCACAACCCCAAATCTGATCCTGCTGCATATAAATTACAGTTACTGAACTTACTGAACAGCCCATGTAATATATATATATATATATATATATATATGAAGAGTTCAGATGCAAAAGCCTCTAAGTGCCATTTGAAATTTTCTTCTAGAATGATGATTTTTATCAAGCTTGTATATTTAAGTTCAGTAATTTCACTTAAATGGCAATGATAATTACCCATTAATTGTTATTTAAGTGAAATTACTGAACTTAAATATACAAGTTTGATAAAAATCATCAATAAAGAAGAAAATTTCAAATGGCATTTAGAGGCTTTTGCATCTGAACTCTTCATATATATATATATATATATATATATATATATATATATATATATATATATATATATATATATAATATATATATATATAAATCGGATTTCCCCTGCAGTGTGAACAAAGCCAATGAGGTCAAAGGCATCCCGCACTCACTGAGAATATCGATGTGGCGGTCCTTTACACTGTCAATACACTGCTTGACCGAGTCATCACTACACACATCCAATGCCAGCAGTGTCAGGGTCTTGCCATAAGCGTCACCCGCTGCTTCCACCAGCTGGTCCTTCTTTTTCAGGTTTCTCATAGTGGCAATAACTTCAAGACAAAATGACAGGGAACAAGCATGTCATTAACAAAACAGTAATCACTCGAAGTTCAAACCTTGTATCTACAACTAAGAGGATTTGGATGCTTTGTTCTGAAATCAGCACAGGAGATTGCAGTTCGATTGAATTTGGTCTAATTCATGATATGCTGCTGACCCAAACAAACACTCAGTGTAACCAGTGGTGTGTGTTGCTTAATTTAAAACCGTGGCTGAAAGATAAGCTGAAGAGATTAACATTCTAATGCACTTTGCACTTTGAACGCAACGCATGAGTGACACTGACCTACATCAAGCGCCCATCCCAGATTTTCCGAACATTTTTCATCTGAAATAATCAGTTTTATCAGTTTTTGAAAAAACTATCCAGTCCACTCTGATGTCAGTGATCAGCTGTGCTGGCAAGTTCTTCATGAAAAGCAAAGCAAAATTATTATTATTTATTTTTTATTTATTTTTTTTACCACCTTTCCATATTTTAGGTTGATTTGATTGACTGTTCTTTATGGGTGGAACTCTAAACCTGAACAGTTCCTTTCATATCTCAAGAAATGATTAGTTTTGTTCTGTGCACACTGAATTCTTTTAATGGACCCACTCTCTATATTTATTTATCAAAAACTACAATAAAGAAATGCACTACCATTTAAAAGTTTGGGGTCAGTTTAATCGTTTTTTTTTTTTATTATTAATACTTTTCAGCAAGGCTGTTTTAAATTGATCAAAAATTACAGTAAAGGCTTTTTTAAAAAAAAAATAGATATTTCAAATAAGCGATGATTTCATATTAGAATGATTTCTGAAGAACCGTGTGAATCTGATGATACTTAAACATTCCGATTTGATCACAGAAAAAATATATATTTCAAATTCTATTAATAATATTAGACAATATGACAATTTTACTGTATTTTTTTGATCAAATACGAGACTTCTTTCAAAAACGTTTAAAAAATCTTATCGATCCCATTCCCAAACTTCTAAAAGGTCATTTTCATAAATACATGATGACCTGTTGTTAAAGTCACCTTTATTAAAGGAGAACTCCGGTCAATTTTAACATCAAACTCATTTTTTGTACATTTGGAGTGCTGTCAGTACAGACAAAAACAATCGTCTTTTTAAAATTCGCACCCTGTTGACTTCAATGGGGCATGTTCTAAACCTGCTTTTAGCCTCTTATCATCCTTGATTTGTCATTACGAGTGCACAGCCATGTGAGTGGTGTTAATAAGAGTGACCACGGTCAATCTGACTGCAGTAGACGTGAAAGATATGAATAAAAATGATGTTAATTCAGCCAGCTCACATACCTCTATTTGCTTCCTGTTTCCGGTCGAAGCCCACAGTAGTCGATTGTCGATCTCTCGCGCGCGATCATAAGTGAATATCATCTCAAACCTCCTCCGTGTGTTCAACATCTGATTCGGATGAACTATCCATTTGAGCTGATATTCTCAGAACACCACACAGTGGATGGTTTGATATGATATTCACTAATGATCGCGATCACAAACTCGACAATCGACTACTGTGGGCTTCGACCGAAATGAGGAGCTGGCTGAATTAACATCATTTTTAATAATATCTTTCACATCTACTGCAGTCAGATTGACTGTGGTCACTCTTAATAACACGTCTCACATGGCTGTGCACTCGTAATGACAAATCAAGGATGTTAAGAGGCTAAAAGCAGGTTTAGAATATGCCCCATTGAAGTCAACAGGGTGCGAATTTTAAAAAGACGATAACACGGTGTAGGCAACAACGATTGTTTTTGTCTGTACTGACAGCACTCCAAATGTACAAAAAAATGAGCTCAATGTTAAAATTGACCAGAATTCACCTTTAATATAGTGCTTTGATTGTTTCAAACATCTTCACGATAATAAACAGGAAAATAACAATCAATAATGCCAACTTCAAATCAAATATGAAATAAATTATAATTCTGCTGTCATTATTCATCTCAAATCAGTTCAGTGTTTATTCAGTTCAGTTCAATAACCGTGTAAAGTTCATCAAATGAGTTCAATTCAGCTACAAAGGCCTCTTTATTGCCCATAAACGCAATAGAAGAATGAAGTGGTGTAACATAATTTTCTAAATTGAAGTATATATATATATATTGTTTCTTTAAAAAAGTCCCTTTCTATATTTTCAGTTTCTTTTTCTCACTTTCTTGTATTGATGAATAAATGAATACAGACGATATTCAACTTCAACGTGCTTACTTTTCGCGTTGACAATGATATATCTTATTTTTGCTCTCTTTCTCTGTGGCACTAGCACATCTTCAGTAGCCTACATTGAGGTTTGATTTGCTGATCAAATCCTGTCTGATTTACAGATCAAGCCTTTGTAGCTTTTTTTAAGCGTTGTTCATTCAGTCTGTCAACATCCCTGATCAGTCAAAGCCCAGCTGCTGTTGAAAAGTGCCAGTAAACATGCGGAGACGAGAGAACATAATGCATCTGTAGGGTGATGATGATGGAGAGACACAGCTGCTGGGAAATCTGCATTCCTGTCTTCTCAAACTAGATTTCACTTGTATATAAAGAATAAGCTGTACTTGACGAGAGGAGAACTTTAATTCTTACGACACACAAGGCATGCGGAGCCAAACTAGGCCACGATATAAATGTGTTTACGCGAACAACCGCCTCATTGTTAAAGCTGTTGTTTTAAGACTTGAGGCCGATTAAACATTCTTGAATGAGCCACCCTCAATTATAATTGGATTATTCTTTTTTTTTTTTGGCTTCTTTGAAGTTGGCATACATCACAGCACCTCATTATAACCAGAACCAATTGGAAAAGGATTTTATTTTTGTTTCGGAAAAAAATCCACTGTTGCAATGCTCTTAGAATGGGAACAAAGTTCAAATGGAATTCATTTAAAAGATGAAAAAGAATGAAAGATGGTTTGCTTTTCAACTTTCTTAAAAGCCTCCCTTACGTTTGCAGCGATACTGTAAGAGAGGTCCACCACTCTTTAAATACACTGGCTGTTTGGATTTAAATAGGCAAATGCTTAAGAGACTGGATCATCATGTTTGGTATCAGTTCTTGTGTAGCGTTCATGTAGGAAAACACGTCAGATCACAATACAAGATCTTGTATTGTCAATGCAAGAGTCCAGCACTCTGTAAAGTCTCCTCCAGCACATGCCAAAGACTTTCAGTGAATTCAAGTTCCTCCCAACCATTCTTACACAATTTGAGCCTGATGAATCATTGTCATCCTCGAATATGGCCATGATGCGTCTTCCTACATGGGTGTTTAGAGGAGTGGTTCACTTTTTAAAAAAAGTCTTTCTTGTCTTTCTTTCTTCAGTCGAAAAGAAATTAAGGTTTTTGATGAAAACATTCCTGGATTTTTCTCCATATAATGGACTTCAATGGGAACCAAACGGTTCAAGGTCCAAAAGACAGTTTCAGTGCAAACCTCAAACTGTTCAAAGGGCTTTAAACGATTCCAGACGATGAATAAGGGTCTTATCAAGCGAAACGATCGCTCATTTTTTTTAAAAAATAACAAAGTTTAAGTTTTATAAGCTCAAATGGTCACCTTGCTCTGTTCTGTGATGCACGGTCGTGACTCTCCTGTTTGAAAATGAACGAATCTTTTCCAGAGTCAATTTGTTCATTTCGTTTGTTGAATGAAACAAATGATACGAAAAAAGATTTGTTCATTTTGATGAACACGTTCGAACAGGAGAGTCACGAACGTGCATCACAGAACAGAGCAAGGCGAGCATTTGAGCTTATAAAACTTAAACTTTGTTTTTTTTTTTTTTTTTTAAATGAGCGATCGTTTCGCTTAATACCCTTATTCATCGTCTGGAATCGTTTAAAGCCATTTGAACAGTTTGCAGTTTGCACTGAAACTGTCTTTTGGACCTAGAACCGTTTGGTTCCCATTGAAGTCCATTATATGGAGAAAAATGCTGGAATGTTTTCATCAAAAACCAAAAGAACGAATGACATGGACATCTTGGATGACATGGGGGTGAGTAAATTATCAGCAAAAGTTTTTTTTAAAAGTGAACTACTCCTTTAAGAAATGAAAAGCTGCACACTCCATCAATTAGAATTAGAAGAACTGATGCCAAACATATAACATGATAGAAACACAATAATCAGTTCAATAATGATCCAGTCATAGACTCTCAAGCATTTGCCTATAAATTTTATTTATAGCGACTTTTATTTTTTGTTTTGAGCGGGCAGTGAATTTAAAAATGTTTTCAAGTCACAAATACATTTATATATACATTTAACCAAATTAATTAAAATGTAATGTAGAAGTACTCAATCAATGTTTGCAGTAGTCTAAGCATCATAAGTATGTAAATAAATTAAACGGATAGTTCCAAACCTATATGAGTTTATAAACAAAGATATTTTGAAGTAACTAAACAGTTGATGGACCCCATTGACTTCATTGAATGAACTGTTTGGTTAACAACATTCTTCAAAATACCTTTTTTTTTTTGTTTAGCAGAAGAACTAAATAATCTATTAACTATCCCTTTAATGTGCTACTACTATACACATGTCATTATAGGGCAGGCTTTATCTCTCAATCCACTGAAAAAGGTTGAGGGCCCCCAGCAAACCATTTGATTGACATTAATGAGTCTCTGTATGCAGTCGAGTAGGAGATAACAAATGTCCAATGGTTTTGCCCTGCTCAAAGTGCAGATGAAGTCTTCAGAAGACCCTCGCTTTAGAGCCCTCAACTTGTACAGGTCTCAAACTTTGTCCCTCTCCCAACACTCATTCCAGTGTGTGGACTATTGGCGCATTAGACACGGCACTAAACCAGGGCAGCGGTCTACAATTCACAGCCATAAAGAGAGCTTTGTACTGGAGAAGTCACTTGAAAGAGAACTGGCAGTCTCTTTATGATCTCCGCCTGGCAAGCTGTATCCTCGCGGAGCCGTACCCTGGAAACTGCGCTTTCACATGATAATAAAGACCCTTTGGGTTCAGCTAAAGAAAAGTGAATGTATAATCTTGCGGTTCGAATGAAGAGACAAACTAATGCGAAAATGTACAGCGCGTTATGTCATAAAAATACCCAACAGCTGCGTTTACAAAGTAAGACAGGCTATCGGCTAGAAGCGCGTGAACTTATAATACCTACAACTTCTGAAACAAGTTTAAACGAAAAGTCGAAAGCCCGAAACGTTCTATAGAGGTGTGAACGCTGAATTAGAACGCGTTTACCATGGTAACGCTTGTGTTCGTCTCTGGCCAGCAGCACGGCGATCCTCAGTCCGATCCCAGAGGAGCAGCCGGTGATCAGCACCACTTTCTGCTCGCCACCGCCACTCGCCATGGCAACTCCTGTCAGTCTCAGCTGGATCAGGGGACTCCAACAAACTTAAAGCGGATAACGCAACCCGGCGCTCATGTGAGCGGGTTATGCGGTCACATGGCAGACAGAAAATCGTTAACGCGCATCAGCGTTTACTGTAGCCTACTGCTTTGAAAAACAAACAGATTAACGCAGTGAGATGCATCGTGGGCTGTGGGCGCAAAGGGGAGAGAGGTGTGTGTTTGGGGAGGGGACGGGTGTCTGAGCCTAGGAAAATACACTCAATCAACAATCAATTACAAGAAAACACATTTAATTAGTTTAATTTAAGTTCATCTGAAAAGTTAAACTTTTATTTTGGATGCGATTAATCGTTTGACAGCCCAATATATATATATTGGGCTGTCAAACGATTAATCGATTGTATCTATATACAGTATATACATGAAAATATTTCTTAAATATATACAATGTGTGTGTGTGTGTGTGTATTTATATAAAATAATTATACACAGTGCATCCACATATATTATGTAAACACAAACTTTTATTTTGGATGCGATTAATTGCGATTAATCGTTTGACAGCCCTAAATATATATATTTAAAATCCTTATATAATATTATATTATGTAACACTTTATTTTAAGGTGACATTATTACATGTAGCCTACTTATAGTAGTAGCCTAACAGTAGCCTACATTATGTTGGCCTATATTTATAGCCTACTGTAACTTAATGGTTGCACTTTTTTAAGGTGACGTGGGCCTACTTACACGTTAGGCTACTAAATGTTCTTACTATAGAAACAGTAACTTATGCATAATTAATTTACAAGTAACTAGGCCTAGCCCTAAACCAAACCCTATTAACCGTAACTCTAGTAAAAGGCTACATGTAGTTTATTAAAATTACTCAGTCCTTATTTGAGTAAGTAGCCTACAGTACACTACGTCCCCTTAAAATAAAGTTTAAACTTACATTAGGCTATATTATATTATTATCCAGCAAACTTACATAAGTTTTGGAAAATGAGTGGAGGGATATATTATATTCATCATTTTTTTTTTTGTTTGTTTGTTATTCATGGTTATAATTAAAGTGAATTTGGTTGATTGTTCTCGTGACTCAGTTTATTAAGCGTATTTGTTTGAAATTGCACTCTAGTGGTCTATTTTTACACAGAGGACGACTGTTTTGGTTTTAGTTTCATTTTAATGTGAATTATGAAAATATGACCATTGGCATTTTCTACACTCATGAGTAAATTTACACTGGTCTGTACTGCCACCTGCTGGTAAAACCTCTTACAACACATGTACTTTAACACTTTAATAAACGTTAAAAAACGACTAGAATGGTTGGCCATAATTGAACTGATGCCACAACTTAGGGACATAGTAAAAAAAATAAACAAAAAAAAATACGTTTATAAAAAAAAATAAATGATTGAAAGTCTCCAAGATACTGTAGTTCAATGTCGTCATAGGCAACAGTGATCACCCATGCCACCATAAATATTCAGAATTTTGCTAGGAAACTCGATTTTTTTAGAGAAGATAGAAAATGTAAACCCTGCCTCCGTGATGCAATGATGCTCTACAAATACTGTACTGTGAAAAGTGTTTGAGGAAAGATTTTATTTATCAATTAACTTCTATTACCTAATAATTTTATTCAATATTGTGTCTAAACCAGCTTTTGTCCAGTTACACTTGCACATTGTTTTTCAAAAGGTGTCCTCTTGATATACTTAAATACTCACTGATATGCCAAAGTCTTTTGCTCAGCACTGTGTATCTTAAAGGCGGTCTATGTTAGAATTTGTATGTATTCATCATTTGTAATGTCAATGTATGAATTGCTTGTAACGAAACTTAAAAAACGAGACCTTCCCTAACTTATAGGTTGTCTATGAAAGCCTTTAGACTGATTTGTATGTGAAGGATGTGGGACGTTTCTGCTGGGACATCATAAGGATGTGACATTTCCACACGCCTCTCTTCTGTACTCTGTCGTTTAACCCTTAAAGACCTACGCTGTAAAAAAATATTGATGGTTTAACTTAAAACAGTAAGTAACCTGGTTGCCTTAAAGTTCAACTGGAAAAAGTGAGTTAAATACAATGAAGGAGATTAATTTAACCATCAGAAACTCAAAATTGTATGTCATCTGAACTAAATAAATTATTTAAGTTGATTTGACAAAAGAAAAAATGTTGTGATTACTACACTGTAAAAAAATATTGTTGGTTTAACTTAAAAAAGTAAGTAACCTGGGTTGCCTTAAAATTTTAAGTTGATTGAACTGGAAAAAGTGAGTTATTACAATGAAGTAGATTAATTTAACCATCAGAAACTCAAAATAATAAGTTATCTCAACTAAATAAATTATTATAAAGTTGATTTGACAAAAGAAAATATGTTGTGGTAACAAGTCTTGAAAATATTTTTTACAGTGTAGACCATTTTTGGAGCACCTGCGCGCCGCCTGATCTTTTCTTTGTTTTTCTAACAAAGAAAGAGCCATATATCATTTTAACAGGGGAATTTGAAGTTTCAATCTATCTCATTTAAATAATCCAATTTTACATTTATTTTGTCTTAGAATGGATGAATTTACCAGATTTTAGAAAAACGGCAGCATATTTTTAGTGATTTTTATTTTTTTACTCAACTCTAACAAATCCTCCTGAAGTTTGGATTTTTTTGCTTTATAAAGCTGTACTTGGATATTCTACATTTCTATATGAAGAGTTCAGATGCAAAAGCCTCTAAATGCCATTTGAAATTTTCTTCTAGAATGATGATTTTTATCAAGCTTGTATATTTAAGTTCAGTGATTTCACTTAAATGGCAATGATAATTACCTATTAATTGTTATTTAAGTGAAATTACTGAACTTAAATATACAAGTTTGATAAAAATCATCATTAAAGAAGAAAATTTAAAATGGCATTTAGAGGCTTTTGCATCTGAACTCTTCATATGTAATTTTGACCACATGTAACAATCCCTAAGCAAGTTATAGGCGATTTTCCATGAAAAGCCGTTTTTTTATTTTTTATTTTATTTTTTGTCAGTTTTTTATTTACTGACAATTTACTGTAGATGTGTCCAAAAAAGAATTAAAATAAATAGAAACATTGTGATAGAACACTGAAGCAAACCTTTATATATAAACACACACACACTTACATACATAGCCTATATTAACTTTCACACCTCAGTTCAAATTTCCAAAGAAAGATGCTAATGGGTCGTGCAAAAGACCAAAAACTATTTTTATTGGTTGAGTAGATGATAGTTTCAACCAATCTGGACATGAGGGTGGGACTAAGCATTAACGGTCATTCATGATTGGCTCAGAGGAATAAACCGCACGGGTTTCTTTGACGAATCAATGCTGATCAAAACTTGATGACGCAATCACATTCACTAACTTCTGAATGTCCAAACGCGATTAACCCGATATCACAGAAAAGCCGGGAATCTCCTCTTTATTGGACATTTTAAAGCATACGGATCAGAGTAGCGGTTCAAAAGAACAACAGTTATTTTTTTGCCGCCTGCGGCCGTATAGTTTTTAAGGGTTAAGAAAGATTCATTCAATCTGTAGTCTCACATAGTTTATAGTCTCAAATATACTTTAAACCTTATCTAACTATCACAACAGTGTAATTTCACCTGTAAAATGACCATATAACAGGGTAACTTTCATTATCTTATCTGTCGAAATGATGCTGGTGAATTGCAATGCTCGTGCAAACATATCCACATTGCTATCAGATGCTTTCTTAACCGATGTTTTCTCACTGTCATTTATTTTTATTTTATTTTTTTAGAAGAAGAAAGCGTGTTTACATACAGTATTCGGGCTCTAAATCATGTCCTCTTGCACACTAAGTTGCTGGCTGCAGTTCACCTAATGGCCACCGGTGTCGCTAATAGCAAAGTTTCTGAATTCTACATATAGCCCCTTTAAAGGAGAATTAGACACTAGAGTTAAGTTGTTTGTACCCTTACGATGACCAGTGGTGACCTCTCCACTGTAGTCACATGGATGTGTTTGTGTTCAAATGTTTTTCCGAGGTAAATAAAAGATATTGATCCAGGCCATTCTTGGAAAATCACAATCACTGTAGGAATCTAGTCTGGTTTCATCTGTGCCTATGTTTTGAAAGTGAATATATTTGAAATGTGCTACACATTTCAAAGACAAAAGAAGTAAATATGAAATTACATATAAAGATGTACTCAAGTCGTCCTTCTTAAGTGGGTGAAAAAGCACTCGAAATTATACTCTAATGCATTTTCATTTAATTGCAATGAACATTCAGAAAAGTGCCTGGAAATTTTACCTTCAGTTTGCACTTTTTTATTATTTCTCATTTTATTTCTAAAAGTATGATAAAGTGCACTACTTTTTTCACAAGGGTTGTGAAGTTTACCCATCAATGCTTGAATAGAACAATCCGCAGTAATAACCAGTGAAAATGACACCTTCTTATCCATCATAAAAAAAGGAAATGCTAAACTGTAAGCGGTAACACTTTTCAATAAGGTTCATTAGTTAATTTACTAACATTAACCTGTTAACTGTCACCCCCCCTTTTTTGAATAGACATGAAAATTCACATTTTGAAATTAAATGGTTGTAATTCAAGAATGCTTTGGAATATAGACATATGATTGGTCTTGTTTTAAAGAAGACATTTGGCAGATTTTTGTAAGTGAAATAAATTAAGAAAGTGAAACAGAAAAAAAGTTATAGAAGTTTGAGTTTATGAAAATGTACAATGTAAAAATATTAATTATTCATATTTTACATAAAATATATATTTTCAAAACCTGGGCTACTCTAAAATGGCAGAAAGATCAAAGCCAAAAATCTGAACAAGTTGTGTTTCAAATTTTAGGTTGATATCTCAAAAAATGAGCTTTCAGTAAGATTTTGTTTGAGCGCAGTACCAAACTTTTTCACTAGGGCACAATCAGACTCCATTACTGCCCATATAAGGG